CTATCTATCTATCTATCTATCTATCTATCTATCTATCTATCTATCTACCTATTTATCTATCTATCTATGAACAGTATATAAATTTTATTATTAGATATTACTCTCTCTCATGTCTCTAAGTTTCATAAAAAGATAATGAGCAGTGTTTAAAAATACTATAACTCACAAGGAGATTAACTTGAGATAATAAATTAATTTTCCCATAGAAATTCTCTAGGCCAACTATCCTGTCAATTTCTGCAAACTGGAGATAATAATTCTAAGTGCCTTACACATTTGTTGCTGTAAGGATTTCTAACACTTCTGAATAATCTACAATACAATGCAAATTTGCTTTTCTGTATCAGAAATATTGCAGCGTATTGTTTCAAAATATTGAAGTAATATTAAGAAAATATTATTTATTTAAAAGTATTGCTTAAACATTGTAGGTAGTATATGTCAAAATCTAAGGGAAAGATCTTTTGCTCCATCTCTTGAGAACCAGTGAGCTGCTGCAATTGGTATCTTGTAACATTTAAATAATGGAAATCAAATAATAAAAACCCTATCTGTAGACATTTAATTTGGAGGGCTAGGCACAATAAGAATTATTCAACAACATTTTTGTCAATTTCAAAAGCAAGGTCATACATTCATATTTGATTCATAATCCTATCTAAAAATTACAGTGCATCATTAAAGTAAATTTTCATGAAAGTTACATTATGTCTGCCTTAGTTAACATAAAATGTTTTTAAAAATTCATTGCAATATAAGTATCACCTATTGGTATTATTTGATTCTGTTGATGAATCAGCAGAAAAATTAGAAATATTTACAATTTCTGAGGAGAAAAATCATTAAGCCAGTGCAAAGATTAAAATAAAATAAAATCTTTAAGACAGCAAAATATTGTATATTTTTTTTTTTAAAGACAGGTACTCTGCAATGTGCTGCTGAAAGTACACCTAAAAGCTTACCTTATCCACTACACAGATCTGCTTTTTGCTGTGGGCATCAAGAATCTCCACTTCAACATAAGTGATTTTTGAATGTCTAAGAACTGGCAGTGGTCTTAGGTGGCCAGCAGTAAGTACGAGCTGGGATAAGTTGAAAAAACTTTTCATGCCATTATGAGGTGCAGGCAATACTGATCCCTGGATGGCAGGATCTTTCTTGTGCTCAAGAGTGCTGGGCTTATGTCTCCTGAACATGACTGCATGAAATACAAGGGCCTGTCATGTCAACACTGGACACCTACAATGGGTGATCTGTTGTCCCTGCATTACTTAAATACAAACACTGGCTGATGAAAGGTCAAGTGGCATTCCATTTAAAGAGTCTAAGTTTATATGGCAGGATTGGAAACAATAGCTTTCTAATCCATTACTATATTTAGCTGGCTATTGTGATATTCTGTACTACTGTTTTTATTTTAAACACAGTGTTTGAAACAACACACCCTGCTCAGTTTCTTATCTTGCTTCCTAATTATTACAATCCTATCCCTTTTTTAAAAAAAGTCTAAGAGCTATAAAGGAATCAGAACTGATATGCAATGGAATACATTATTATATATAGAAGCTGGGAATAGAAATCAGTCTAGTTTTAAAAATGCAAGTCAAATGTCACCCACATGGGAGTTGTTTCTTAATACAGAGCATGTCTATACTAAGATTGTAATGCCAGTCAAACAGTTAAATACTGTCAGATGTCTGCCAAATATTGTCAAGTAATCCATGAAGCTAAAAATATGCTTGTGTAGGTAGATGACTTTCCGTTCAATTGCATCATATTGTCATCCGATGCTAAAAGCAAAAAAAAAAAAAAAAAAAAAAAAAAACAAAACCATCCCTCCATATTGTAGGAGTCAAAGTACACGCACACTTTATACACACAGTCTATTCAAACTTCAGTACAAACTTCATTGTTGCATCTCTGGCCTGGGATGACCCAGCATAAAAAATGTAGAAGCAGTGCTTCCATTTGTTGGCATCAAAGCTGGAATGAATATAGCTTTCAGAGTAGAATGCATTTCTTCACATGTGCCATATAAGAATATCAGGAACATACTATATTCTAAGTAAATTATGGTTCCATAATAGCATGTTCATATTGAAGATATAAGTTTACAACACTTAACAGAAGAATTAGTACTTGACTGGGATAGATATTAATATTCTGCATTGAATCCATAATACTTAGAATGATGTACTTACAGTAAGTTTAAGTGAAATACTGCGTAAATGATCCCTATCCAAACTGAAGCATGCATGGTCTTGATTATGTATCAATCAGAACTATTTGTTCTTCTTGATATGGAATAATTGTTCCAGGCAAAAGTGGAGAAGGTAAGTGTGAGGCTGAAGGGCTTCCTTAGGGATGTTGTAGACCCATAACCTAATGGTAGTAGAGAAAGCAGTGAACGATTAAAAGAGAAGGGAAGGCCCTGCCTATTCTCTGCAAGTGCAAAGCCACTGTATCCCCATTTTATGATGTAGATTTCAGCAGTGAGGATGCAGAGAAGGAAAAGTACTATTAAGACCGGGAGCGTGTGGGCCGGTACCTTACATCATTCTGGAAGCTGAAGAAAGAAACTGCTGGCCAGAGAATATGAAGCAGGCAATTGTGACTTCATAGAGAACAGAGGACGGAAGAAAGAAAAAAAGGAGACATGCTCATAAACTTTGATCTAGTCACCTGTAAAATCACTCTGAGATCCCTCTAGGGGATCCCTCTAGGTTTTGTTTCTGCTAAAACATGTCCATCTAAAATATTTTGATAATTTGATCAAAAGGAGATACATTTTCTTTTTTGTGTATACTACTAAAGTGTTGCATAGTCTACTTGAATTATATTTAAAATTGGCCTTCCATGAGATTCTAAAACCCAGTTTGCGTAGGTTCAGCTGTAGAAAGTTAGCACCCACCCCTCCTACAAGAATGAAATATTTTGAGAAATATTTTAAAAAGGCAGAATATTGTATTTCCCTAAAGGAGAAACATGTTTCTAAAGACAGAAACTCAGAGCCTCAGCTTCCTGCCTCCAAGCAGATACTAAGATGATTACCAAATCTGCATTTAGAAATGCAGATTTGGTAATCCATTACTCCCAGCAGCAAGGTCTGAACAAAGGTAGGATTAGCCCTCAGCCCCTTCATTGCATCAGCACACTTCAACCAAACTTGACTTCAAGACAAGCATGGCTCCATGGGAGTCTGACTACAGCCAATAGAATACATTTCTTGCACAGGAACAGGAAGCTCAAGGGCAAGGCCCAAGAGAGGGTATAAATAATCCTCACTCTTCACTCCATGTGATCAACAGCACCAGGACCATGTGCTTGATGACTCTGCTTCATTAAACCATCTTTCCAATCAGCCTCCATGTTTCCAGTTTCTTTCTCCCCACTTGGAACTGAACCAGATGGATATTTCTTCCAACACTGCATTTTGTTATTCTGCAGACAGCACATTCACATCAAACCCAGGGGCGGGTTTCAAAACTCGTCGCTACCAGTTCACTCGTGGATGGGTGTGTGGGTGTGTGTGCATTGTTTCTGCGCATGCGCAGAAGCATCCGGGCAGGTGGGTGGAGCCTCTCGCCAGCGCTGCTATCGGTTCGCCCAATCCGGGGTGAACCGGTAGCAATCCACCACTGATCAAACTAACAGAAATATAACTACAGTTTTAAAATCAGTAATTCCTGAAAAGTGGAAATTCTTCAAGGTATATCCCTAATCTCTATGTGTTTGATTGACTCATATATCTTTCTTAAAATACGTTGTCTTTTTTACTATGTATATCTTAATATATAAATTATATATAATATATAAAATAATATAAATCTTAATAGATTTCATTCTATGTATACCATACTTTATTAACTATAGACCCAAATGAATGATTTGGAAATTTCCTACGAAGCATAACATTTCTCTTCTTTTTATTATTTATTCACCAAAATTAGTGAGATAGGTGTGAGTGACAGAGGGAAATTGGATGAAGAATCTTGGCAATAATATTCAGAAGTGAGTTTTTTCATTTTTGAGCTCAACATTCTTTTTGCGTGCCTTCTTGCAATAATGTCAAAACGTAGAAATCCATAACATGTTTTAGTCCTGCTGGGTCCAAATGAAATGTGTTAAAAGGGTATTTTCATTTTCTTCTAGGATGAATTGATCTGAAATAACTGGAATGTGTAATCCTTTTTTTAATGTAGCCATTAGTAGCTAAAAAATCATCAGAATCTTCACTTGCCTCCTGATTAATACCATAGATTATTTTCTTTTCCTTTTTAGGACAAATGGTGTTCTGCTTTTAATCACTAGCACTTTTGACAACTAAAAATCTTTGTCATTCACTGTTCCTGTCAGTGGGAGATCACCCATCGCTATGTCTTGCATACATTCCAAGCTTCTCCTTCGAAGCAAGTAGCTTCTTTCTGTACCTTGATAAGGGAAATCTCAATTAATGCAAACTTTTCATGCTGGGAAATAAATCTGTAACCTTCTTTCTAGGCTTAAATGTCCATCACTTCTTAGATAAAACATCTTGAGACACATCTATACCCCAAAATAAATGTTTCTTTTCATAGATGTGCTGATCTCGGGGTAAGACAAATAAAATCTCAATAATTTAAAAAAAGACAAACCCCCCTCCCCCCCCATAACTATCATGCTGTCTGGAGAAGTCTGGGTCGTCTGGGGGTTGAAATCTGTGTATTTTAAAGTTGCTGAGATCAAAAAACATTGCAACTTTCAGGCAACAAGAAACCAGGAACAGGTATAAAATTCAAACCACTAAAAGTTTATTTCATACTACCTATACAAAGAAATATATACATGCATGATGAGTCATCAGTCACTGAAATTAAATGTGGGAGTATCTGGATCAACTAAAGAAGCCCTTCTTTACCTTAACTGAACTATGAAAGTTGCTATTATCAGTGTAGTGCTCATTACAAATGAAGGCACAGAATAATTCATGGATGAACTCACCATCAATATTTGCTCATCTTTTGGAGCTATACTATCTTCTGAATCACAGGCAGTATGGAGTATCACATGCTGACTAGCACTGGTGGAAAAATTCCTATGCCTTCCAGTCCATGTTTGTTAGCTTCCTGGTGGCTAATAGCCACTGAACTCTATCTGCTTTTTGGTTTCATCCAACAAGGCTGCCTTATTTTCCTATACTTTTCTGCCATAGCATCTTATTGAAGGAACTCTGTGAAGTTCATGGGCATTTTATCAGAAGGTTTGTAATTGTAGGGAAAACACTCAACAAGAAAAACATAACAAAAACAACAAAAACCAACCCCCCAAACCCCAACACTTTCTAGAAATATGAAATAATATCCTGACATTTTGGATAATGATGCAAATAAAGGCAGGTTTCTAAAGGAAAAAAATGTTATTTACTCACCAGTATATAATCTATGTATTAGTTTATAAACTGGACAATATTGGCATCATCAAGGTGCATCCCTTGTTTATGTGTAAATACTTCATACTATTTCATTGCTGTCTACTACTGAAAATTATTGATTGTACTTGCTTAGAAATTGTCACTGCCCAAAATATATATATATTTTTTTTAAATTTGATTTATATGCTGCCCTTCTCCGGAGACTCAGGGCAGCTTACATGGCGTTAAGCAATAGCCTTCATACTTTTGTTTATTTATACAAAGTCAGCTTATTGCCCCCACAAACTGGGTCCTCATTTTACCTACAACAACAACAACAACAACAACAACAACAACAACAATAATAATAATAATAATAATAATAATAATAATAATAATAATAATAATTTTATTTCTATACCGCCCTTCTCCCGAAGGACTCAGGGTGGTGTACAGCCTATTAAAAACACAAAACAACATCAGTTAAAATAGTTTAAAATTATTAAATAAATTCGGCTGAATTTTAAAACCCCAGAATTTAAAAACCCAATTTAAAATTGTTATTTTGATAGCCCGGCCTGGCGGAACAACAGGGTCTTGAGTGCGCAACGAAATACCTGGAGGTCGGAGATCTTACGTATTTCCAGGGGCAGTTCATTCCACAGAGCTGGGGCTCCCACAGAGAAGGCCCTCCCCCTGGGTGTCGCCAGCTGACATAACTTGGCCGATGGCACCCTGAGGAAGTCCTCTCTGTGGGAGCGAACTGGCCGGTGGGAGGCTATTGGTGGCAGAAGACGGTCTCGGAGGTACCCGGGTCCTATGCCATGGAGCGCTTTAAAGGTGGTGACCAGCACCTTGAATCGCACCCGGAAGACCACTGG